AAAAAAAAAAAAAAAAAAATCCGTCCGTCCGTCCCTAATTTTGAAATCCATGTAATGCAAAACGAAAAATCAACTTTGCGTGGCCTAATGACAAAACAATCAGACTTTAAAAGATTATCTGAATTAATTTCAAAACTCACATTAGATGATATGAAAGTTGCGATTAAACAAGAACAAAATAAACTACTGGTGACTAATAAAGCTGTTCTTGAATTATTAAAAAAAAATTAAGGTTGTTGGTAAAAAAATTATAGGATCAAATCAATCACATAATCGACTTCGTAATGAAATTTGTGCGGTTATTATATGAGACAGTGCACCTTCATTGTTTATAACGATCAACCCTGCAGATCTTTATAGCCTGATCGTAATGATGTATGCAGAGAAAGAAATTGATATTGACATTTTGCTTTCAAAGCAATTCCCAACAGCAACAGAAAGAGCTAAACTAGCTTGTCTTGATCCAACCGCAGTAGCAAAATATTTCGATACTGTTATAAAAAAGATAATAGAAATCATTATTGGTTATAGCAAATCAAGAAGAGGTATACTTGGTGAAGTAAAAAATTACTATGCAGTAATTGAATATCAAGACGTGGCACACCCCACTGTCATATTATAATTTGGCTTCAGGGAGCCCTTAATCCTATTGAATTATAAAATCATCTTTGTAATGATATGAATTTTAGAGACTGATTGATGAACTATATAAATAAAATTGTCAAAGAAGATATCACGTATCTTTTTCCTAATGGTAATTATTTAACTGATGAGATGTTGTATGCTGAATATAATATTTCAAAAACAAGGCTGGAAAAAAGGCTACACCTATCATTTTTACCAATTCCAAATCTGTGATTTCCTAATTTTGATGAAGAACTTCGACTGGACATCCTTGCAATTGCTAAATGCACACTATTTTATAGATACACTAAATCATGTAAAAAATATAATCGTGATCGATTATCTAACTGTAGTTTTGATTTTCCACGTGAGTTAGTTGAAGCGTCTGGAAAAATTTACTCTGAACTCAGAATTATTGCACTCCAATGCCGTAATGCATATATTAACAATCACAATCCATATATAACTACTAGCTGCCATAGTAATAATGACATTAGATTCATTGCAACTGTCAAATTATCATTAGCATACATTCATTATATCACAGATTATATAACCAAAACTGATATAAATACTCATAACTCATTTTTAATATGTGCTATGACCTTACCATATTTACGCGAAATAACGCACATCTGCGCATTATTTCAAGAAGATGCGCATTATTTCGAGTACGCGCATAGGCATTATTTAGAAGCAAAGGATGCACCCCAATCACTGATGGTAAATATAAAGGTGATTTATTAATATTAGTATATGGGGTATACGTTATTTTGGGACACACATGGGCGTTATTTTGAAACCAACTATACTATTTTAAGGAAATGCAATTTTCAAAATAATGTCTATGTGTATTATTTCATATAAATAAGGTAAATAAATTTATTTCCAAGAAATCAAATAATATATCCAATGAATCTATAACAAGATCACGGCAACTTGTTACAATGTGTCTAAATAAAATCACAGGACAAATAGAATTGACTAGACCTCAAATATCAGCATATCTTCTAGGTGTGGGAGACCATTATACGCCAAATAAATTCATTTCAATTTATCTCAATTTCTTTGAAGCATACCTGACTTTACAATACCTGATTGAAAACAATATATCTTCAGATCTGGATGATAACCCAAATGATAGTGATAATAAACTAGATGATAATTTTATAAGTGATGAGATGTTCAAGATATCTAATATAAATAAAAAGATAACAGCAACAAATCTGCGTATTAATTATATGTATCGTGGTGAGCAATTGAAAAATATGTGTCTTTATGACTATGCAGCTACACTTTATAAAATAAAAACAAATAAAAAAGAGTTAGATAAAATTACAAGACAAAAATATCATGAAGAACGAGCAACAAGAGTAGATCGATTTTTTTTTAAAGATAGAGAAAATGAATGTCATAAAACTTGTGACCATCATTATGAACTTTGTATTCTTTTGCTTTTTAAACTATGGACTACCGCAAATAATCTTATAACTAAGTATGGGTCATGGTGTGAAGCATGTAATAACTTTTACAAGGCCCAGATCTATCACCACGATTGTAATTTATGATTAATAACATTGAACTTCTACATCGATATGCAGAAGAAATGTTTCTAGATTGGCAGCTATGTCAAATATCTTGTAAAAACCCTAAAATTGCAAAAATACGATAAATAAAAGATCAGTAACTAGTTATGATAATCCAGATGATGATGTAGATATGCTAATTAACCAAGATAATTTTGCTAATGACAAATTAACTTCTATAAATCTATATGAAATTATATATTCTGGATTACAGAATATAGAATTTGTTAACAACACAATGGTTTATTTGCATTTCAAAAATAAACTTAGTAAAAAAAGTCTGAATAAAATTAATACTCTAAATTATAATAATAATAAAGACCAAATCTGATCTTCTTACGAAAATAATGGTAATTTAATTCAAATATGGCAAGAAACTATAGCATTAAGAAAACAAATAGAACAAACAGATGATGATTTAAATCCTGAAAAGAATAATATACCTGAACTTTCTGCATATACTCTAGCTGAAAAAAATTTAAACAATTTGCAAGTAAATTTGCTTCAAGAAATTTCAAGTGTTCTTAATAAAGAACAAAAAAAACATTCATGCATATTTGTAATCACCGCAATAAAAACTATTCTAATAATCCCAATAAGCCTCCTCAGTTATTAATATATTTAGGTGGTGCTAGAGATACTGGAAAATCAAAAATAATCAAGGTTATACATGAATATTTTAATCGAATTGGCCAAAAGCGAAGTCTTGAAATCTGTGCACCAACAGGTTATGCTGCATCAAATATTCAAGGCTGTACTCTTCACTTACTTTGCGATTTCAAATTTAGCAATGATGATTGTTATAATCTTAGATAAGAATTTACACATTATAAACCAAAAAAGGCACTTCAAGAATGTTGAGCAAGTATAGAATATCTCATTATAAATGAAGTGTCTATGATAGGACAAAAGTTTTTAGCACGATTTGATGTATATGTTAAAGAAGCAAAGTGTATTCAAGATAATACCATACTGTTTGCTGGCCTAAATATACTTTTTGTTAGAGATTTTATGCAACTTCCCAGTGCTTGATTCATCTTTATATCAATCACATGATATTAATAAAAAATCATATTGCAAACAACTAAAACAAATCAAAAAAAAAAATGCATATCAATTTAATAATCAAATGTTAACAAATATCAGTAGCAAAGAATTATGGAAATCAGTTAGACATATGATTATTTTAAAAAAACAAATGCATCAAATTGATGATTTGAAATATATAGCTATATTAAATAATTTACGTTCAAATCAGCTAACAACAATGCAATATAAAACTTTTTGTAAATATATAATAATAATGGCAGAATGCAATTTTTTTGGTTTGAAGAAATGATTTACGAATTCAACTCTACTTTGAAACTATGATAAAATATGCTAGAGACCACAATCAACCTGTCTACTATACTTGTGCAAAGGATTCATACAAAAACAAATCTGTCATAGAAACATAAAGCAGAAATTTTTAAGTATATCAGATACAAAATCAAATACATTAAATGGTATATTACCCTTAACAACTGGTATGAAAATAGCTTTAACAATCAATATTTGTACAAATGATGAGATAGTAAATGGTGCACAAGGTATTCTTCGTCAAATTGTATATGATAATACATCGTCAAGCATAAAAAATATGAACATTAATGAAAAAATGACATTATCCTTGATAAACCTCTCAAATATATAATCATGGAAATTTTGAACTGTAAATCAGGTTCATATGAAGGTCTTCCCCAAATTATATACCAGTTTACGCTGTTAAATGAAAATGCAGATATACACATAAATAAGAGATAGAACGAATTTAACTAGAGAATTTCAAAGAACACAATTACCAATTACCCTAGCTTTTGCACTCACAGAATTCAAATGTCAAGGTGCCACATTAGAAAAAGTGATCGTTGATCTAAATGGTGGTAATATAGGTGCGGGCATTTATGTTATGTTATCTTGAGTTCAAAAATTAGAAGATATAAAAATACTTCGACCATTTGACCAATCTAAACTTAATATAACCATTGACCCTGACCTGAAAAAAGAGCTTGAATGTTTTGAAGAATACTCAAAAATAACTAAACAATTTCTTGTATAGCCTAATACTGAATGTAAAACTTATATATAAAATGAATATATTTTATTAAATGTACTAATAACCTTTATAATATTACTTTAAATATTACCACGCATTTTAAATATAAATCATATTAACACGTAATTAAATTCTTTCTTTGATCTCGCAAAATTAAAATGAAAAAACTACACTATTATATATAATTTTTATGCTTTTTACATATGAAATTTTTGCCCAAATCAACTATGTTAATAACATCACTAATTCCTTGTATTTAATTTTGACTACATGCTTTTCATGCACTTTGATTGATAATGCAATTTTATTTTTAAATAACCCTACAAACTAATAACCTATAATCTATAATCAAACCATGCAATAATAAAACATTTGATTATAAACAAATCTAAAACAAAAAAAAATAAATATTTTTTAATTCATCTTTTTCAACACAGTTAACTTTTCTTCAATATAAATAATTGTGGGGGATTATCGTGAAATTGGCTGAAGCTGAAAATTTGGGGTCTCAATTTAGATCCATAAAACCCACTTATACATGTTTATTATAAATTCTACCCATAAAGCTGACCTCTAACTCTAAAAAAAAGTCAAAAAAATGTACCCCAAAAATTTTGAAATTTTTATAATAAAATAGGTCAAATTTTCAGCTTCAGCCACCACAATAATTGCCAGCGAAATGTTTATTTAAAAATCAAACTTTTACTGCAAAATCGTACATATTAATTCTCAAACTAATATATAGCAGAATTTCTTACACACAATATCATAATCAAACAAGCAAAATAAATGTTTAAATATGTTAAACAAAAACCAAATATTTACAAAACCAATGATACAATATGTTGCTATCAAACTAAATAATAAAGAGTGAATAACCATCTAATAAACATGCACAAGCTGCTAGGTATTTATTTGTCTTTAATATTTATGCTTTAATTCGTCGTCTTGTATTATGTACAATAGGTTGAATCTCCTTTTCTTTACCCTTATTTATCTTTTTACTATGACTTGCCTCTTCTTTATTTTCAAGGATAATGTTTTCTCCATATCCATCACCTTTTTCTAAACGTCCTTTTTAGCACACCGTGGTTTGAGCAGGTTTGAGCACGTGCTTGTGCAGCTCACATGCAACTAGTGTTGAAAATTACATTTTACAACCTTACAATACATGTATTTTCACGTAAATTTCAGTAACATGGGTTTCATGTAAATTTCACACGTGATTTATAGAACCAGCATTATAAAAACCTCAGCTAGCATTATTGACCTACAGTAGATTCTGGATAAATTGTATGCAAATGCTGTTGATATTTCTTATGTTGATGTTTCTTTCGCAACTAAAAGAAAAGCACTAGATTCTGATAGTTCACAGATTATATTGGGATGTTATAGATCTGTACGAGCAAAACTTTTAACTGCCCATCAAAGTGCTTGTGAGAATTCAGATAAGGCATCAGTTGTTGAAAATTTTAATTGTGCTAAATCTACAGTTGATTTAATTGCTAATGAT